TAGTCTCTTAGCGAAGTTTTGGACAGATCAGTGGATCCCAAACTGCCATAGCCTGAACTCACTTTCTCTATATCATATCCCTCAGAAGGACTTGGATACCCCTATTTTTCTGTATACTAATAAGGGAGTTGAGATATGAACAAATTCAGTTCTTTGCTACCTGATCACATTTATGAGGAAATTGCTAAAGTCAAACCTCCTAACCTTTCTGGTAATCCAAATTTAGTATCTTGAGCTCTATCAAACAATGTTACCTTTTTAGTTAAAACATCTTATCAACTAATTCCTCATGTCCTAGGTGTGGTACTGAGAATGAGTCTATTATACATGTTTTGTGTGATTGCTACCACGCATGAAGGGTCTGGGAGTATTTTATTTTTCCTGATCAATGGGCCTAGTTCTTTTTCTGCTGGCCTGATAGTTTGGGTCTACGGGAACTTGTCCAATCCCTACTTTAGGAGGTTTACTAACTGGCAAAGATTGTTTGGTTTCATCATTTGGCACCTGTGCAAAGATAGGAATGCATTTGTTTTCAATAATTGTTCTATCCAAGCCTCTGTTTTAATAAAAAAAAAAATTATACTTTTTCTTGTTTTTATTGCAGGAGTAGATAGTTTTCTCTCCCCAAGATGACCATGGACCAACCTAGGATTCATTGGATTCCTCCTTTTAGAGGTCAGTTGAAGCTAAATATTGATGGAGCTATTTGTGACAATCTGAAAAGCTGTTGATTGTGGAGGCATTCTTAGGGATTGAAAAGGCAATCTAGTGGTTGGCTTCTATTCTTTAGTTCCATGCTCTCCTCTAGAAGCTGAGCTTTGGGGCATTTATGATGGCATTTAGCTCCTTGAGGTCCCTGATCAGTCTACCTATTGGATTGAGTTTTGAACCTTGTGAAGTTATTGCTTGCATTTAGTCCATTCGAATTAATTCTCATCCATTGTATCATGTTATTTGTAAAATTAGAGATGACATTAAACTTGTTAAATTTGTTAGATTGAAATACATCCTTAGGAAAGCCAACCATTGTGCGGATAAGTTAGCTAAAATTAGTGAAGTCCTTTTCTCTTTTAGTTAGTTTTGATTAGACTTTTTATGACTTACTCCTTTTTTTTAGCTTTGGACCAAAGTGATTCTTGATTCCTTAGGTTTTTCCCTTAGCCTGTTGTGTTTGTTGGACTTTTAGCCTCATTATCAACAAAAAATAAAATAAAAAAAAAATACAAAAATGTTAAAATTTTGTTTGATGTATTTAAATAAAATCATGTTAGAAAAAAAAATTAATAAACTTAATCTGGATAGATTTTGAGTATAATCAATTTAAGACAATCAACCATTGCTTAATTTTTAAATTATAAAATCTTTATTAGCTAAACAAATTAAAGATAAAACGTACATATATTCTTAACTAAAGATGCTTAAAAATATAATCAAACTTTAAAATAAATAAATATTATTAACTATATAATTTAAAATGTATTATTACAAAGAATTTGTTAATAAAAAAGTGATAATGACTTGTAGCAAGAAGCATTCTCATGAAGCGTGAGAAAGCAAAATCAAAGCGAGGGACAAATTGGACAATTTAATAGCTCGTATTGCCCAATCAAAGATGCTGGACAGAATTAGTCAACGAAACGTATTTACTCTAACAATTTAATTTCGATAAATTTATAAATAATATTAAAAAGTATAAAATAAATTAATTTATTACATGAATTATAACTAACTTATATACTTAATCATTTTTTAAATAAAATTATTTAACTTTTCTAAAAAATTAAATTTATAGTTTAATTTTAATTTTTAAAATATTTAATTTATTTTACTTCTATATTTTCTTTATAAATACTTATTGATTTATTCAATGACTTGAATTATTGACCAGTATTTTGCACTCGAAAGAGTCTATACACCTGTTCAAATTGAAATGTCCTGTTTACTGCGTAAAATTACAAAAATAACATTGACGGAAATAAGATTCGTCACAATATAATACGTGAAATATTACTAACACATATTTTAACGAAAAATATTTATTTAAAAATAAAAAGAGTGAACCCATTGTAAATTTTAATAAATTACAATAATAATTAAAAGTATGTTAATTATTAATTAAAATTTATAAAAATTTAAAAATATTAATTTATAATAATAAATAAATTGAAATTTATATAACTTTTAATAAATTTCGAGACATGTACACCTGCTGCATGCGTGTCGGTAATTTAACCTAACAATTTGACCTCAGGCCAATGAGATAATATAGAAAATTCTAACGAAGAAAATAATTAAAAAAGATAACATATGAAAAATACTCCATATAGAAGGTCTTATACTTAGTATAATATTTTGTATTATTAGTATAATATTTTGTATATTTAGTTAATAAAAATACTACAGGTATATTTTTAAAATAATTGTTATAAAGTTAATAAATTTTAATATATAAAAAATTATAATTAAATAATAATATATTATAATGTATTTTAATTAAATTTATTGTATAAATTTAAAATTGGGTATATCAAAATCCATAATTTATACATCTCAAGGATTATTTACGTTTTAAATTTATAGATCGAAGCAATTCCAGCAAGTAGTATATATAAGTTAAGTAATTCGTAAATTATTCGAGTTGGATTAAATTGTTTAGTTAATTAAATAAATAAATTGAAATTTATATTTAATTATTTAAATAAACTAAACACAAATTTGATAAAATTAACATTAATAACTTTTGGTAAGTTTATATACATATTTAGATAATTATAATTTTATTTATGTTTAATTAAAATTTATAAATTGATATTATTATCATTATTATTATTTATTTTTAAGAGTTATAATTTTTATGATTAAATTGTTTAGTTTAATCAAGTCATTTTCATAAAAGTAAAATTATATATTTTTAATATTTTAATATAAATATTTTTAAATATTAAATTAATAAAAAATTCAAAATATGTAAAAGAAGAAATTATAAAAAAAATAATTATTGTTAAATTTCAATTTTTTATTAAAATAAATTTAAACTTTAAATTTAACTTATTTAACAAAATTAATCAAACATAAATATCTTTTTTCATAGGTTAAACTTAAATTTTAAATATTCAACTTAATTTAATTATATTTTGAATAAGTACGAAAGAATTTACGCTATATTTAACAATAAAGTTTTAAAAATATTTTATACAAATATTATTTAATTTACCATTGTTATTATAATATAAAATATTTTTAAAAACAATGATCATAACTTTAATTGCTTAATTATTTGTTATTTTATAAATATTCTAAAATTTGAATTCAAAAAATTTATCTTATATATTTTCTATTTAAAATTTCTAAAATGTGCACTACTTATCTTGTTAGTTGAGCCATCAACATTTATATTAGTAATCTAATTTTTTATTTATTTATTATTTAATTTAATTCAGATTCAATTTAAAGATGTAAGGGTGAGGATTAATCTGGATACAACTTGAGTCAGAAATCTAGATATGATATATAAAATTTAATTCAAATCTAACTCAGATCAAGAACCTAAATATAATGGATGAGGTTTAATATACTTGGATGTAGTGAATAAGTTTATTATTAAAGTTTTTTATATACGCAAAAATTTGAATCTAAAATTTTATTTAAATAATACTAAACTGCTAATATCTGATATTTTATTTAACAAAAAACTATTCAATTATTTTATATTATATGATTATATCATCAAACTAAATTAATTAAAATTTGATCGACCAATGGGAGAAATATAAAGATTAAGAAAATCGAATCTTAAATTTTGCCGACAAAAGCATAAGAAAAGAATAAAATTACACAAACAATCCCTATCCATGCCTCAAATAAATGAAATGAATAAATAGAAAGGATAGAGAGAGTTGACCACACAACTTAAATAAGACCAAAGAAATAAAAATGGTTATTTTCGACCAAGTCGGTCATTACCAATTTCATGCCTACCTTCCACCACGTCACCACTTTGTCTCATGCTCTCACAATCTCAGCCCCACGCGGCACAGATTAACCATTCAAATGAAAATAAAGTCAGCTGCGTGCTTTCTCATCCCTCTTCAATACTCTTCAATTTTCTTATAGCCATATTTTTCGTCCACCATCTTACCTACAAAATCAAGTAAGTATTTAATTTTTTTAAAATGTTAAATGTATCTATTTTTATTTAATATTTTCTTTTGTAAAAATCTTTTCAAATGAAAAGATATAAAATTATTTAATAGTTATCATTTAATTTAACTTAATTTATAATATCACAACTTAATTTTGTTCAAATTCATTGTATTTCTTGTAATTGAGAAAGTTTAGTATTTTTTTTATTTGTGAAATAATCTAACCGTTGATTTTATATTAATAAATAATAAAATAAGTGATTTAATTAAAAAAGGCATTAATATTCTCTCATTTTTAAGATATCAAAAGAATTACTATCATTAATTTAAAGAGAACATAAAATATTTTTTTAAAAATTTACAGGTATCACAATAAATATTATTATTATTATTATTTATTTATGTAAACCTAATTGTAAGTCATAACTTTTTAGTAATGTTGGATAATCCAACCTTTCATCCAAAGAAAGCCCAAAGTGAATGGATCCTTGCTTAGTTTATTTATGCGAAAGTTTCTTAGTTTACCTGTCGATGAAGAAATTTTGGTCCAATTCTTTGGTCAATTTTAGAGCTAATCGCTTCCCTTTTAGTTTATGCAATTGTTGTTTTCAAGGCAACGACAAATCATCAATTGGCACTCCCAGATGTGACAGTTAAACCTGACTGAATATTCCACAATTATAATTAATTCCACCTGCTCCTCTACCTTTTGTCCATTACTTTACCCACAAAACCCCAATGTTCATGATTTGGGTGAAAGTGTAAAGCTCTTATGTGCTGATATATGCCTCGCTCTACTTCAATTTTTCGATTCAATTGGGTCTCAATTTGCAGTTTTGTAGAATAGAACTACCATAAGCGAAATTAAATAATTCTTATTGTAATCTTTAATGTGATGTTCATATACACCCATGAATTAAAAATGGTGCAATCAGGCATAACAGCCTCTATACAAATGTCACTATAATACATAAATATATTGGCTGAATATCCAAATTCCAAATCTTCCCCTTCTTATCTTTGGACACTCTTGGTGAGTCCAGAGTGTTCATTTCATTATCTGTTGCTGATCTTGGTAACTTCTGTTCTTGTATTATCTGTAATTTCAACCCTTTTATGCTGGTATAGCTTTGAAAATATCATCAAAACTGTTTTGATTTGCAAATATATCCAGAAGAGACAGTGCCTAAAATATATATATAAAAAAAAATGATGAACCAATTTAGTTGACCATTTCTACATATAACGAAGGATCAATAGTATGTTCCTCAAGTTGATGATGAAGTTAATTACTTACCTCAGGCACACTCAGCTCAAGACGAAACTTTGGACCATCATAGTGGTGAAGAATTGGTCTGAAGGAATCCTCTTCCAAAGGCTCACAAACTTTCCTAGTAATCACTTGGACCTGTAATCATCATGTATTGGAATTCATAAATTTTCACAAACTAGCAAAAGTAATATAATACATTATCATTTAACAAGTTTTTATCGCACAGCTAGACTGAAGATGATATATACCTGAGCAGGAAAACGAGATTCATTAGGACACTTCTTGTCTTCCCAAGCCGTTGGATCAATATTGGATCCTCCAAAACTTGCAGCCTGAACAAACCCAACCAAACATGTTATTACTCTTAAAAAGAACTTGTAAATTTCAATTTAAAGACACAAGTGATGGCCTAATCTATAACATGATAGACAAAATTTAGATATAAGTGATTTTACTGTTACTTTTCATTAAGACTATATAAATTATCAAGATAAAATTTTAATTATAAAGATTGCACTAAATAGTAATTATATTGGTCCTAAATTTGGTCATAACTTGATTTTCAAAAGCAGCAGTTTCATTGGATTAAAATGAAGCATAAAATGGGAAAAGAAAATACACACGCATGCATACCTCAAAGATACCGTGGAGTTGGTGAGTGGAGTAGTTGTACAGAAAAAGGGGCAACCCTGGAGTTATTGCTCTAACTGAATCTCTGTATCGCGGAGGCAGACCTACAAAACACAAACATTTACCAAGAAAACCAATTTAGATTAAGAAAACAATAAAGTTACATAGACAATTTCAAATTGAAACATTAGTTTTGACAAAAATACGGTGTTTTCCTCTAGCAATTAGCAATGGAAATTATTGACAATTCAATTCCTCGAAAGATTCATTTTACTCTTACTGAAAAATCTAGGGAATGAGAAATTAGAGTATAGTAATAATAATGATTTGATTACCAAAGAGCTGTCTTTTGAGATTCTCTGCCATGGTATCGTTGTTGCAAACAAAGATGTAGCCTCCAATGGTTTCATTCTTGGGAAGAGACTCTGATGGTGGGAGAGTCTTGAATCTCTTGTCAGAAGCAGTCTTAGTGACATCATTATTAGTGTTGTCCCCATGCTTCTTGTTACTGTTGTTGGTGTAGGTGTTTTTCTTGGCACTTTTGGGTGGGTGAAACTCATCTTCACCCTTGAAAAATGACTTGTAGTTGTAGCCCTTTAGATTGATGTTGAGGTTGTTGTTGTTGTTAAGGTTAAGATAGGAGGAGGTGGTGGTGGGGTTGGAATAGATTCCCTTGTTGAAGCCTCCAAGATTGTTGTTGTGAGGCACAGAGAAAAGGGGTCCATTGGAATTGTTGATCTTCCACCCATCATTGAAATCACAAGGCTTTGAGTTGAGATTGTTGAAGGAGTTGATGTCACTGCCATTCACATCAAAGTTCCTCCTCTGATCAGGCCTCTTTGAGCTGTAGCTGTTGTTCCAAATGGAATAATCATTTAGAGACAGATTAGCCAAACCAGATTCAAGCCTCAACTGGTCACTGAATTGCCAAAATTCATTGTTGTTTTCCATGGCCAAACAGATCCTTAATCTCTAGCAACTGTGTAGTATTCAAGAATGATATATGGTGCTAATAGATATGAATCACTGAACAAATTAAAGAGAAATGAGGAGAGAATAAGTGAGAGTGGAAGGTTGGAACAGATCACAGTATAAAATGGGAGAAATGGAAAAGACAGAGGACAAGTGTTAAATAAAGATTGATGAGAGGTGTGCAATTTCTAGGAAAGTTAAAGGGGCAGGCCATTAACTTTTGCGCGTGTAATTGTCAAAGAGGGAAATGAAATTCTTCCCCCATAACATCATGATTTTGATATAAGGAAAGTGAATGGAAGAAAAGATAATTAATTAACCTTCATTATCTTTTAGCTGTTATTTAAGGTTTTGCATAAGAATTAAGCAATAACTTTTGTGTTCTAGTTTTCATTAAAATTAATATTTCATTTTTTCTTACATCCCCTTATTTTTATTAATTAATAACATAATAAATGAAAAAATTGATGTTGTTTTGAATTTTTAAAAATGACAATAAATAAAACCAAAAACAGAGATTAATTGCTAGAATAATATTAAGCTTTTCTGTAGTAAATTTTAATATTTATTGAATAAAAATGCTCTTTTTGTATTTTTGAAGTATTAATGTGTTTAGTATTTTTATGAAATATTAAGAGATTTAATAATTAAATACTATGAAAATATAGCATCACTTTAATTTTTTATTCATTAAATTGTTTGAAAGAATTAAGAGCATATGTCCATGTTTTTCTACTTAAGCAGTATGAGACGAAATTATTTTAATATAATAATAATAATTATTATTATTATTATATTTAATTTATAATAAATACTGATATTAATATTACAAAATTTTAATTTAATTTCACCTAATATAAAATATTCAAAGGTTTCATTTTCGTTTCTGGTTTGTTTCATTAGGTGGAGCGACAAACGACGAGGCAAACCGCGTTTAATAAAAGAAGAGAAAGTGGAATGAGATTACTTGGAGAGTCGAGTGGGCAATTTCCTTGGTTTGATTTTGCAACCTTTCTAGAAGGTGTAGTTGAGTAGAGGTCCCACTTTCGAGTTTTATTATACAAAAATAGTGAATTATATTTTTTCTTTTAAAATTATACAATTTTTTAGAAAAATTCAAATGTATTATAATTTGATTTTTTTTTTGTTAAAAGCATTGCTATTTTTTTTTCATATTTTTATTATCAAATACTTTTAAAATAAATTTTATACTATTTTTATCAATCTTTCAAAAAGTTCAATGAACTCAGTGCATTTTTTTTTATAAAATATTAAATACTTATTATTGTTATAAAATGTTCAAAAGTTTGTTTTAATTATATATTTTTTGGTTAGAATTTAATTATAATATTTTTAAAATGTTTTAAATTAATTCATATTAACTGTTCTATGTTAAATGATGAGTTAAATAATAAAATTTTAATTTATTAATATCATTTCATTTGATTATTTTAAATATTTTATTATTTAAAAATTAATATTATAAAAAAAATCTTAAAAAATTATATTAACATAATTACAAATAGGACTATTTGCAAATGTGTGGTGCACTAATCACTTTTTCCAAACTTAAATTCAATGTGAAGGGTTACGCTGATTTTTATTGTGCGAGCCTTTCTCTCCATCATTGAGTCAGAAAGAAGATTCTTTTATTACAAATTTTGAATAAATAATATCAGAGAAAAAGAAAAGTTTGCTGATAAAATTCAACAATCCAAATAAAAAATCCTTAAATTAAGAGAAAAATTCTAACTTTGTTCTAAATAAAAACAAGCTTTGATCCACCGTACTCAAAGGCTTGAGATTGAAGATTTTTTTACTATATTTTTTTAAACTTTTTATCTAATATTAACTTTTAAATAATTAAATAACGTAATAAATGATGACTTAAAATTTTATTATTTAACTTATTATGTAACATAAAACAATTAACAGTAAAAATTGATTTCAAATATTTTTAAAATGTTAGAATTAAATTTTATCAAAATTTTTTAAGGATGAATTTCAGAAATATTACTTTTATAGAGACGAAAATTATAATTAAACTTATTAAATAGTAAAATTAAAATTAAAGTAATTTATATATTCGATGAAAACGTGCAAGAGTTGTAATTTTTACACATTCAAATAAAAAAATTTGAAAAATTTGATCACAGAAATAAAAATTAGACTATAAATAAAAAACACAAAATAGTAAATATATATAATTTTTATTTGTATGACATAATTTTCTAAATACTTCTGAATATATCAAAGTTGCAGTCATTTATATCTTAATATTCTTATACGTTTTCTGATGAGAATTTTTTAGTTTTAATTTTCCGTATTTAATTTTTTATTCAAATAATTCAAAGTTTATATACCATGAATTTGTACAAATGGTTTGGAATAGAAAAAAAATATATATATATATATATAATTTTGATAAATTTTGAATGATTTTGTAAGATGTGATGCTAGGATTTAAAAAAAAGTAAATACTTAAAATTAACTTTTGTATAAAATATTTCAATTTCAATTATTATTGTTGCTATTTTGCATGTTTTTATATATGTCACACTTTGTAAGTGAGATACGTCATGTAAAAATGTCTTTTAATCAATTTTTGTATATAAATAGTAATTTTGAAAGATTGGAAATTCTTTTTTTTTTTTTGTTAAATATTAATATTTTATTAAGAATAAATTTAAAGTAAAAGAATACTTTAACCTATTATAATTCTAAAGAAATTAATAATATATGTTAAGGAATCATTAGTTAATTTATATACATAATTGATTTTCTTGAAATCAGACTCTGCTACAAACTACTTCCAAGAACGATATTTAATAGAATTAAACATTTTACTAATATTTAATACACTGTTATTGAAAATAATATTATTCTGTTGAAACCAAATTGTTCATATTACTGCAAATCATACCATTACAACTTCCCTCTATATTTTTTTCTATATTGGATTCCACACATGATTAATAAAGTGCAAAGTTTTAGGAAAGCATAAAATTGACACCAAACTATTTGAACAATATGTATTACAGTCTCATAGAAAACACAATGCAAAAGAGGATGCACTATGTCATCATCTTTAATATCACACAGCCCACAAGTTTATGAGAAAATCGGCAATCCATGTTTGGTCAAGTTCTTTTGCACTAAGACTGCATTAAGCAATAGACGCCAAAAGATATATTTTATAATGATTTTTAATTTAATAAATTTTATAAATTAATAATATAAATATTTTAATTATTAATAAGATATTTTTAATAAATAATTAAATTGTAAAATTTTAAGATTAAATAAAGAAAATTAAATACATAATATAAAAGCAGTTATATAATATAAAATAGAAGATAATTTAATCTTCAAATTTGTTTTATTTAACAAAACTTCTGCTGAAAATACGCTAACATGGAAAGAAGTAACATATTTTTTAATGCAAATTTATACACAAAAAATGTGAATATTATTTGTTATTAGAAATCTTATAAATTTGTCGAGAGATAACCCTTCTTATAGACTCTTTTAAGTTAAAATGGTCAAAAGTTATTATCTAAAATTAAAATTTACTTTTTTTAATGGGACTTCGAACCTAAGTCCTCATGTATTTTATTTGTAAATTAAATATAATTAAGAGATTTTTAAATAATTTAAAGTATTGAAAATATTTATCTTTAAAAAAAAATTAAACATATACTTAGAGAGAAATTATTTTAACGAAATAAAAATAAATATTTTTATCTTAAAATTTTTTAATCAAAATTATAAAATTTTGTAAAATACATTAAATTACTTTTAAAAAAAATAAAATCATGCTAACACGTGAATATGGAGAAAATAAAAATGAAGATGGTATACATGTAATATATAAATTTAGTGTATAATGTAGGAATGAATATGTGTTGAAGGTATAGTGTCGGTTGGTAAAATTTTGAATTACAATTTGATAAAGGGTTAAAATATGATAATAATGAAAGAAAGTAGTAAGTTGTAAGAGAAAAGGTGTTGAATGTGTCGGTTGTGAAAGGATCACATAGATTTCTTAGGATGAAATAAATACAAAAATTTTTAATACAAAATATAAGGTGGGACTCCTGCACTAAAATATAATTAGATGATTTAGAATATGAATTTTAATCAAAAGAGATAAGGAGAAACCAAGATAAATGAAGACTGGACAAGCAAGATATAAAATCAAATAAAACAACAATTGAATCCTAGGAGACAATAGAAATGTTTCCTTTTAGACACCTAGCTCAACTAAATGGAAAAAGGAAAAGGTAGGACAGATGATCAAACCTTATGATTAATAAATTTATAAGAGGAATTAGCTCATAACTAGCAACTAGTCCAAATACTATATAATGTAGACCAAACATAATGTGAGAAGTACAACCTAACAATCCTTTTTTTTTTCCTTTTTTTTTATTCTTGGCTGTTATAACATAATCCTAATAAGTATGGAGTGAAACTAGGAAGATATGATATAAGAATTAAAAAAATGAGAACTTTTTTGATTAAGTTATAATTGTGTGATAAATAAATTCTTCTTGTGTGTTTATTGTGTAAATTGTTTTAATTTTATGGACTCGCCCTTTTTGTGTGTGTTTGAAATATCTATTAGTTAGTATGTATTATATGTCGTGTGCAAATGGGAACAAATATAATCAAGATGTGGGTACGATGACAATGACAGTAACTAGTAGACTATTTATTAAGAGTTAGCTAGATTGACCCTTGGTTTAGTTTTTGAAATGGGTTGGGAATCTCGTTGCACTACCAATTTACCAGTTGAGATCACCTTTCCTTTACCTCTATATGTCACCGTTGTTTTGTTTCTCCTTATACCTACTAGAGTTGCCCCAGCCCTTATGGATATTGAAAGTCCTGTCCTTGATCCTACCCTAGACAGTGCCCTTAATACCCATTCACCTTGACCATTCTCGCCTCCTCCTCTTCCTGAACCTGAGTGGGTGGATGTTCATGTGATTAAGTCATCTGTTCGACCCCATCCACCTCCCCAATCTCTCTGACTTTTACTCATTGATGAAGCTGGACATTCTCACTATAGCCCTTCATTACCTCCTCTTATTTCACCCTCTTGTATATCACCACCTACCTTTGGATGGTGAAAAGATGTAGATGAAGACCTACCTAGTCTACCTACTGACCTTAATGAGACATTGTCCACTTCATTAGATCTTGATCCTTTAGAGGAATAAACCTCTCTGAATTGATGTCTTTTTTACTTTTGTTTGTTTTGGGCTTTAGGAAATTAGGGAGTTGATGATATT